GGTGTAATCCAAATAGTTTATTTTTGCTTTTGTTTCCCTGACAGAGGAGACATATCCAGAAAAATGTTGCTAAGGCCACCATCCAAGAGATTACTACCTATGTTTTCTTCTAGGAGTTTTATGGTTTCAGGTCTCACATTTAGGTCTTTAATTCATTTGGAGTGTATTTTTGTATGTGGTGTAAGAAAGGGGTCCAGTTGCATTCTTTTGCATGTAGCTGTTCAGTTTTACTGACACCATTTGCTGAAGAGGCTGCCTTTTCCCCCCTGTATATTCTTGCCTCCTTTGTCATAGACTAATTGACCATATAAGTGTGGGTTTAGTTCTGGGCTGTCTATTCTCTTCTATTGATCCATGTGTCTATTTTTGTGCCAGTACCATATTATTTTGATTACTACAGCTTTGTAGTATAGTTTGAAATCTGGAATTGTGATACTTTCAGCTTTGTTCTTCTCTTTCAAGATTGCTTTGGCTACTCAGGGTCTTTTGTAGTTCCATACAAATTTTAGTTTTATTTGTTCTAGTTCTGCGAAAAATGCTGTTGGTATTTTGATAGGGATTACATTGAATCTATAGATTGCTTTGGGTAGTGTGGACATTTTAAGTCAATATAGGAAGTTTCAATCATCAGATTATCCCAGAGTTTCTCTACCAAGGACCTCTTAGACTGCTCTTTCAGTATATATTTGGCTCTCGATTGGCCATGCTGATTATAACTGTTTCTGTATATGTAAGCAAAATCCAGAGATCACATCACTTGTTACAGAATTTCTCTTTGATTCACAAAGTTTACATTGCCACCTCTAGAGCTGGTGGACACAAGATCTTAAATTTTTTTGCATTGGAAAACTGTCATTTGGAGGGTTACAATGAACTGTCATTTTGAAGGTTGTATTTTTAGGGTAAAGATTGTCCTTTAATTCTGGAAGCAACATTTTGATGAACCTTGTGGTAATGTTAATGCATCTACCACTCCCTGATTCCCATTTTATTCATATATATATGTATATATGCAAATGTTTCAGACTGAGATGTTAAATATTCTGTTTTGGAATAAAAATTGAATGTAAGTAGCAAATTATCGACCTGCAACATTAATTTCCCCCCCAAATGTAGATCTAAGCTGTTTTATAACTAAATGTTTTTATTTGCCTTTGGAAAGGAGCAGAGAGATGACAGCCTAGAGAAGCAACAAGATGGCAAGGCATGACCAGCAGAAGAGGAGTATTGTTCCAGAGCCAGAGAATATAAAATTGCCTGGCTAGATGGGGAGAACTTGGGGAACCATTTTTTAGGGGTTCCCAAGAATTACTTGAGGGGGAAAACCTAATGAAATACTGGACTCCTTGATGGCAGTAGAATAGAGACTTAGACTACTATTATTTGGGCATTAATAACTTCTGAAGACTGGAGAAGATGGGGACTTTTTTTAAAATTTAAATTCAATTAAGCCAATGTATTTCGCTCAGCATAATCCCCTCCAGTTCCACCTGTGTCAATGTAAATGGTAAGATTCATCCTTTCTGATGGCTGAGTAGTATTCCATTGTATATATGGACCACATCTTCTTTATCCATTCCTCTGTCGATGGGCATCTTGGCTCCTTCCACAGTTTGACTATGTGGACATTGCTGCTATGAACATTGGGGTGCAGGCGCCCCTTCGGATCACTACGTTGTAGAAGATGGGAACATTTTAATCACACATAATTCCTGATACTCTTGCACATCTCTCTCCTCAACCCCTTTCTTACTTTCTTTTAAAAAAGATTTAATTTATTTAAACTAAACAAAAACAAAAACATTTTACCCATTTCTTCCATCCCTCAACCGCCACTTCTGGGGGGTTATAAATATATATATTTACATTCCACATATAAGAGAGATCTTACAGTTTTTGTCTTCCTTTGTCTAACTTATTTCATTTAGCATAATGCCCTTGAGGTCCATCCATTCATATTGTATTTATGACTAAGTACCTGTGACTGCTTTTGCATTACAATGGCCAGGGTCTTTGCAACAGAGACCATAGGGCCCACTAAGCCTAAAATCTTCATTATCTGGCCCCTTAAGGAAAAAGTTTTCTGTCCTTGCTCTAATTCTAAGTTTAGAAGAAATATAAGAGACAGAGGAACATGTTTGAGTAACAACATGGAGATGTAATCAGCAAAATTCAAAATGTGGAAAACTCTATAAGACAAACAACTTAATTTCTTTAACAAATAAATGCTAGTAAAAGAATTTTTTTTAAAAGAGTGAGAGAGGGAAACTTTAAGAGACACATCAACTTAATGCAATGTGTAGGCCTTTAAGAAAAATCCTGATTCAAAAGTCAACTTAAAAATATGTATGAACAGGGCATCTGGCTGGCTCAGTCAGTTAAGTGTCCAGCTCTTGATTTCAGCTCAGGTCATGATCTCAAGGTTGTGAGATCGAGCCCTTTGTAAGGCTCCATGCTTGTGCCTGCTTAAGATTCTTTCTCTCCTCTCCCTCTGCCCCGCCTCTGCTCACACACTCTCTCTCTTAAAAAAAAAAAAAGTTTAAATATATGTATGAACAATCAGAGATGTTTAGTACTGACTGAATTTTGATAGTATTAGAGAATTACTGTTAATGGTTCAGTTGTAATAACAGCACTGTTTTTATGTTATTCTTTTAAAGAGTCCTCGCTGTCATGGGGTGGGGAGGGTAAGAAAAGTGGGTATATGCAAAGTAACAATGGCCAGCGAAAGGACAGCTAATTTCTGGTACACAAATCACACTAAATAAAGGGCATTTATTTAGTAGGCTATAGTTACTTATATAATATTATAGTTACCTATAACATATGGGTAAATGGGAGTTCATTAACCTAGTCTACTTTTGTATGTTTTTGATATTTTTCTTAATATAAACTTTTACAAGTACCAACATTTTAGGAGAAATTATAAAAATGTATTGAGCGACATTAAGAAAGACATTAAGAAGACCAAAAAGAAGAGGTAGACTATGTTTATAGTTGAAAGACTCAATATTGCAAAACTGTCAGTTCTCCCCAAATTGAGTCCCAGTAGGGCTCACCTCAGGTTTGTCAGCATCCCAGTGGGGGTTTCCTGTCCCAGGTAGCAATTCCCTGCTAATTAGTCTTATCCTCTAAACTGGAAGAGCTCTGTCTCAGGCAACCCAGAGAACTTCTTCACCATCCAGGTGCCTGCAATCCCACACTCTCCAGTGAGGTTTGAAATCCAGCCTTGGGTCCACATTTGCTTGTCCCTTAGATACTCTCCTTCAGGCCTAGGGTCTTTTGAGTTCTTTTTTATGGACTTTTGGTAGCTAATTCCCTATAAATAGTTAATAATTTTTTGTATTTAACAATAATCCAAAATGCTGTGTGGTTTGTTGTCTTCTGAGTGGACCTGACTGAAACACTAGTAGAACTGAAGTTATATAAAATGTAGGACCCAACAATTGTGGTGTGTGTGTGTGTGTGTGTGTGAGAGAGAGAGAGAGAGAGAGAGAGAGAGATACAGACAGACAGAGGCAGAGAGAGAGAGAGGGGAACTTGCACATGTATGATAAAGTAGAAATACAAGAATGTTCACAGCAGTGTTGTTCAGCATAATCTAAAACTGAAAATAAATCCAATAATCTGTCAATAGGAGACAGACTAGCTGCAGTATGTGAAAGAAAGAGAGGAGTCAAGGATATTGCCAAGATTTCTAAACTGAACAACTGGAAGATGAGAGCTGCCATTCCCTGAGATTGGAAAGTCTGCAAGAGGAGCAGGTTTTGACATTGGAGATAATATCAGAAGCCAGTTTTATACATATTAAGTTTGAGATGCATGTTAGGCATTCAAATGGAGGTGTCAAGTAGGCAGTTGGATACACAAGTCTGGATGACCCTGCCTGGGTTATGGTTGAAATTATATGTTTGCAGGTCCTCAGCATTCGGAGTCCTTACAATCAAGGGATTGGGTAATGCCACCAAATGAGTGAGTGTGGATAGGAAAGAGAAGAGGGCAAAGGACTGAGCTTTGGGATAGTCTTCTTGGATGACTGCCATTATCTCCTCACTCCACCTGCTTTGGTGGTCATTCCCACCCTCCATTCCCATCCCAAAAAGGTCATCTTCTCTTACCATCCAGAGTGATCTTCTAAAAGCATGATTCAGGTTATATGACTCTACTGTCCGAGCCTCTTCAGTGGCTTCCTGTTGCTTGTAGACTAAAGTCCAAACTCCTCACCAAGAAGATCTGGCTCCTCCCCTTGCCTCTACCTTCCTTGACTCTTTCTTTCCCTGTTCTCTACAGACAGTTCCTTCTGCTATGTAGTGCTATTTATTCCTCAAATACATGGATCTTTCTCAGGGCATTTGTGCTAGCTGTTCCTTCAGCCTGGATGGGGAACCTCATCTTTGCAGGGCTTCTTTGCTCCTTCTCTTAATTCAAATTTCAGCTCGAAATGCCACTTCTTCATAGAATTCCTTTCCTGAGCACACTCTTTAAAGTAATTGTCCACTAGCCACTTGAACAGGTCACTCAATAGCACTTTTTCATGGCACTGATATATGACATTATCTTATTTATTGGCACATTGTCTGTCTCCCGTACTAGAATCTCAGCTCCCCATGGCAGTGACATGGTCTTGTTTACTATTGTGTATTCCCAAAACCTTGAACAGCAATGCTACCTGGTAGACAGTCAATAAATATTTGTTGAATAAATAAATGCATGACTTACAGGATTTTGCATCCTTCTTAACATCCTTTTTAGCTTCCAAATTTAAGGAGAGAAGCCTGCACAGCCATTTTTTCTTTGTCCAGGCTTCATCTTTCTTCATGTCCTTTTACTTCTTCACCAGCTCCCCCATGGTCACAAAAGCCCAACGGTGCTGTAAAAATATTAGAAAGAATACTTTATTCTGAAGCCTATGAATGAGAGGATTGTGTAAAGAAGTTACTCTAATCTAAACGTCTCTACACAGTGGAATGCAGCTGGTGACTCCAAAGGGGACTGACCCGCCTCTGGAGCAGCCACGCCCTCGGAGGTCTGTGGAGGGGCCAGGCCAGGTCTGGAACTGGTTGAGTGCAGTCATGGAGGTGGCTCTGGAACAGTTCTTCATCTTTGTAGGGCTGCTGGTGTGCCTGGTGTACCTGGTGAAGTGTGTGAGATTCTCCAGATATATTTTCTGGCACTTCCGGAAAGTTTTGCCAAAGTCTTTCTTGAAGTCAATGGGACAATGGGCAGGTAAAGACAGCTTTCCATCTCTTGTTTCTTGTTATGTCTTATTATCATGTATATCTCAAAATATAAATTGCATTTTTTCCTTGTGAGAGCAAAGATGTAATTCTTTTGGGTGACTTTTATTTGGGTGTCTAGAAAGCATGAGTGAAACTGGAATTGTCTAAAACAGAAGATGTGGGGCATGAGAAGAATTAAGTGGAAGAATGCCACCCAATTCTTGCCTCTGTGCTTGTTCCCTCATCCTTATTAGTTGGGTTTTCTCCTTTTTGGAGTTTCTGGTGACACAAATAATAAGTACTGCAGAAATTTCTGCAACCTTTTCTCCAGATTTTTGAAGGCACAGGGTACTGCCATTTTGTGGAAGGGTGTTTCAAAATTCAGAAATACAAATAATTTTACTTCACTTTATTTAAAAAAATTTCTCTGAGCCCTTTCATGAAGTGAGGGTATTACAAAATCAAGGTAACAAAGGTCCCTATAGGAAGACATGTTCGAGATGGTAGTCTGGTTTGTGTCCCAAGTAGATTAATCACTGCCTGCAAAAGAATGGGATTTATCTTCTGGAACTACCACGCAGAATTTCAGCCTGATGACTGGGTTTAAGGTGAAAAACATGAGGCTATGGTTTCAGCATCTCTTTGAATGAAGTGATGAGGTTACATGAAGAAATCCAAGGAATCCAGTGACTTAAAAAAACAACCCAAAGAATTTAAACAGCTTTAAAGGTACCATATGCGGCTAAATAGGAGAGATTATAAACAACCTTATAGGGCTTCCAGGTAAGATATAGGATACTGAGTTAAATTTGAATTTTGGATAAATAAGGAATAATTTTTTAGTGTATGACATCCCAAATATTATGCAGGACATACTTATACTAAAAAATTATTTGCTGTTTACTTGAAACTCAAATTGAGCTGGGCATGCTGTATCTTTACTTGCTAAAGCTGGTAACTGTACAACCTTAGTAGCAGATATAAAACAATTGCCATATGGAAGTTGCTTGGAATGAAAAATGTGTTTTTTGAGATTAAGAATTCCTCCTATCAGTGAGGTCATATGATACATGTCTTTCTCTGATTGACTTATTTTGCTCAGCATAACACCCTCCAGTTCCATCCACTTCGTTGCAAGTAGGAGGGATGGGGTGCCTGGGTGATAGACACTGGGGAGGGTATGTGCTATGGTGAGCGCGATGAATTGTGCAAGACTGTTGAATCACAGATCTGTACCTCTGAAAGAAATAATACATTATATGTTAAAAAAAGAAGAAGAAGAAGAAGATAGCAGGAGGGGAAGAATGAAGGGGGGAAAATCAGAGGGGGAGATGAACCATGAGAGACGATGGACTCTGAAAAACAAACTGAGGGTTCTAGAGGGGAGGGGGTGGGGGGATGGGTTAATCTGGTGATGGGTATTAAAGAGGGCACGTTCTGCATGGAGCACTGCGTGTTATGCACAAACAATGAATCATGGAACACTACATCAAAAACGAATGATGTAATGTATGGTGATTAACATAACAATACAATATTAAAAAAAAAGAAAAATGTGTTTTTAACTGTTGCATGTTATGTTTGAAGTGTGTGTGTGTGTCTGTGAACACTCCTTCACTCTTGGGGAAGTATCTCCAGAAAACTTGCCAAATAGCTTGAACTTGAGTGCTCTGGATCCAAATACCCTGCTCCACACAGATCCAAATGCCCACACACTTGGCAGGGGGTGGGGTGGTTCTTAAAAGTCTGTACAAGGGCTGCTCATCAGTGTAAGGCAAAGCCCTTCTGAAAACACACACTCCAAAAGAAGTTCACATGGGGCCAGAGACAAGAGTATTTGTTGACTCACATTAAAAAAACATAATCTTAACCTATTATTTGAGTCAATATTGAGTAGAATTATCACTAGCAAGATTAAAACGTCTTTGAGCATAGGCAGATCTCTGGGAGAGCATATATTTCTGGTGGAGAGCCAGAAGAAAATCCAATTACTAAAGATGAAATTGTTTAACTCCTCAGAACTCTGTGGTTGATTAGGAAATTATGTCACTGGTGTATCTTTATAGAATTGTAGCCCCAAAATCAGATAGCTGGGTTTCAAACCCTGTTGTTCTCATCCTTTTTAGCAATGTGACCTTGACTGAGTTACTAACTTTCTCTCCCTCAGCTTCCTCCTCTATAAACTAAGGAAAACAATGGTCCCTGCATTATAAACTTGCTTTGAATATTAAATGAGATGATGCATCTAAAACACCTGAAACAGTACATGGCAGAAAGTAAGCACTCAATAAAAACCAGCCATTTATTGATGTTATTATCTTAACTATAGTACAGACCCTATACTGGGTGATTTGGAAGATTCCCATAAGGGAGGGGAAGGTGAGGCAGAAGATAACCCTGAGCATAGCACCTGTACCAAGAGGAACAGATAATATGCCTGGATTCACCTAGAAGGCCCCAAGTGAACAAATAAAACTATCAGCCATTATGAAAATGAGAGTGCTCTGGGGCACTTAGGTGGCTCAGTAGGTTAAGTGTCTGACTCTTGATTTCAGCTCAGGTCATGATCTCAGGGTCATGAGATCAAGCAGCAAGTTGGATTCCGTGCTCAGCGTGGAGGCTGCTTGTCCCTCTCCTGCTCCTCCCCACCAACCCCCCACTCACACTCTTTCTCTCTCTCAAATAAATAAATAAAATCTTAAAAAAAAAAAAAAAAGAAAATGAGAACACTCTGCCAATGTATTTCTGGAAGCTTGTACAGCTTGGCTCTTATTCTCTAATAAGCTAAATGTATGTTTTATTCACACTTGGAAAGTATACCCTCTGATTGTTGTTCAAAGGTAAATTGCAGATACATAAATACTTAACTGTAATATAATTTCAAATTGTGACATTCACTCGAATGAAGTTTACCCTAGAACTCAGTCATAAAATATGTGTGTTAATGTTGGATATAAAAGGACTCAGTCAATCTGATCATTACAGGTTAATCAATAGATACCCTGACTGCAGATTCTTCAGGTCCCTTTATTTCATTATATCACTTTTTGGCATTTCTGTGTTTTCCTCTTTGTTAAGTTCCTTATCTCCCATGGACTTTGAGTGCTGCTGTCCTGTGGGGTGGCATGGGAAGAGGGAAACACTTGACTTTTAGGAAGAATCTTGAAATGTCCTTACCGTGAGAGTTGAGTGTGTAGGTAGAGAGATAATAGGGTACACCGTTTGGGGTCTGAATGAAATGTTCCCTGGCTGAGGTTCTTTGTTTCCTTTTGGAGGCTATCTTCCACAACCTTACCAACCCCTCCAAAATAAAAAACAAAAAAACCCCACCAAAACCGAAAGCTTCATGTGGAACATGTAATGAGGGGAGTCAGGGCTGGAAGCTCCAGAGTTGAGTGGAGTAGGGCTGTAGAGCAGAAGGGCACTGCTTTGAAATACTGTGTCTTAGGCAGTAAGCCTGCAAAAAAATGTAGCTGGTGTGAAAGAGCACTTTAAAGATTAAGTCTGTCCTTTAAAACCATCTCTGCTTTTTGCAGTGATCACTGGAGCAGGAGATGGGATTGGAAAAGCATATTCATTTGAGGTAAGTTTCGTTCTTTGAGAATTTCTCCCCCCTTGTATTGAACACACCGTGATCACATGACAGGCACCCCCAACACTATGCTTCTGGTTATGAAAGCCACAGACATGAATTTATGAAGGCAAATATTTTCTATAAAAAAGAAAACTTAAAAATTATAATCTCACTCTCTGGATATCTTTTAAAAAAACACAGTGATATTCAGAGGTGCCAGGATCATCCCATAGGAGTTGTTTTAGGAATTTAGGGGACATTGTTATTTTCTAGTGTAATTGTACCATAAAAGTTCATATGTTTAAATACAATTAAAACTATAAAACACTTTTTATTTATTCTTACATTATAGGTAGGGTATATATTGATTTTTAAAAAATTATTTGTGTAGGCGGGACATATTACCTATGATCATCATTTCAAGAAGATTAATGGGCATTATAAAATATTATGTAAAGGGGTGCCTGGGTGGCTCAGTTGTTAAGCATCTGCCTTCGGCTCAGGTCATGATCCCAGGGTCCTGGGATTGAGCCCCGCATTGGGCTCCCTGCTCTGCGGGAAGCCTGCTTCTCCCTCTCCC